TCCTCCTCCTCACTCCCGCACCTCCATCCCCTCCTCCTCCTCCTCCTCACTCCCGCACCTCCATCCCCTCCTCCTCCTCCTCTCCCGGGTGGGCTCTGTGCTGTTGTCACTCCCTGTAGATCCGAGGGCACCATGTGGCCCAGTTGGACCCCCTCGGCATCATGGACGCCGATCTGGACTCGTGTGTCCCCACTGACATTATCACCTCCTCCGACAAGCTGGGTGAGGAGCTGAACCCTTAAGAGACAACCAGAACGTCTTTTTACTTCCCTCTGCTTTCTCCGGCTCTGCCTCGCAGTCCGGCTGTTTCTGAAACCTTCCTCCAGTCGAGGGAAGTTTCCTGTCCTGGGAATGTTTCTGTAACTTTGTTGTACATCAGAAGAGTTTCTTGAAACTTCTCGTGCACAATAAACGTCTCTGAAACTGGAAACTTGTTGAACGTTCTCGCGTACGGTGAATGATCCAGAAAAACCTGGATCCTTCACGTACACGACGAATGTTATTGAACTTGTGTTTAATGTATAATTAAAATCTCTCTGGAGTGTTTCCTAAAACCTTCTTGTATACAACAAATGTCTCTGAGTCTGTATTCGACATCTGCACACGGGAACTTTCTTGTATACACTGAATGTTTCTGAAACTTTTAACCTTAAACATGGGAGCTTCCTCTTTATCCACAATGTGAAACGATCCCTGGCTCACGTAGATTTACAGGTTTGTCGAGAGAGATCTCAGTAAAAGATTTTGTCCTCAGGTGTTGTATCTGGTTGTAAAGGAACATCTGGAACCAAAGGATAAACTTTTCCTTTGGGCCTTTAAAAACTTTAAAATCTGATATTATTTGAGTTCATTCTTGACAGAACGACCTCAGTTTAAGATCAGTTGCTGTTTTGGAGCTTTCAGTAATATTACACGACCTTCATCAGCAGGTAGGAGTTTTATTTCTTGTCCATGTTTGCTTTAAAAGTTGAAAGTTCATGAACATTTTCACCACAAGGTCCATTTAATAACCGTTCTGGAGCTTTGAGAGTGAGTCAACATGAACAAGAAGTACTAGTAAAAGGAAACATGAGCTTCAAACACAGCTGAGGAAGATCATGTGATCTGGTCGTAAGCTCCAGAACAGCTCCCAAATAGACCTTGAGTTGTTTAGTCAACAGAGACATTAAGAGTTTCTGAGATGATCTCAGATCAGTGGCTTCCTTTAGGAGACACTTGAGCCCAGCAACGTGATACTGTCGGCAGTATGTGGGTCAGTTGGTGTTGAGCTGTTAGCTTCATGCTAACCCGGCTGGAGTCTGCAGCGTCTTTGGGCTGCTCGTTGTTTGGCTTCTGCTTTAGCTCTCAGCTGTGGCTTCGTTGTGTTTGTTGTTGTTGTTGTTGTTGTTGTTGTTGTTTCAGCCGGCTGTAGAGACGGTGAGGCTCTTGGTCTCCACTGTTTTTAATACTGAGGGAGCTAAAGAGTTCTCGTACTCAGATCCAGTTAATCTCCAATTCATCATTTTCAGCTAGAAGCTACAGTGACAGTCGAGAGAGAGAGAGAGAGAGAGAGAGAGAGCGCTGGTCTTATAGAAAGATTATAGATTATAGATAAAGAGTGTTCCTTCTGATCATCCTTCAGTAACTGTACATATACACCCTCTGTCACAGATGTCTCCAGCCTCTGTTCAGGCTCTTGTTGGGATTGTTGCAGCATAAAGTTCCTGATTTCACGGCAGCTTTTTCTAAAACATTGCGTAGTTCGGTCACATCTTGTGCACGAGGCTGTGATTGAAACTCACAGGAAACTACAATGATCATCACAACCGAGTGTAACTGCACAAAATACGCAGTTCGGTAAATCAGGAAAACTTAGAGTATCTCATTTGTTCTGATCAGTTCTCACTGTTACAGTTAATTAACTCTCATGCTGGCATACGCAGTCTGGCCTCTGTATTGACGACCTGCTGCAGTTTGTGTTGTTATAACTTGTTACTGGTTCAGTCTTATTAACACAAAGTCAGATATATCTTCTTATAACCTGATTATTTATTTCCCAGAGAGCTTTTTCTCCTTTAGCTTCCTGTTCTGCAGTGCAGGTTGTTGGTGTTGCTCCGACCAATCAGCAGTCTCCATCCCGGAGACACAGTGTACAGAGATCTGATTGGTTGTTATTTTTCTAGCCGTTTATTTTAATTGCTGAATAAATCAGAGATGTGTGCAGCGATTTAAACCTCCAACTGAATGAAATTTTTAGATTTTTGGTTACAGACTTTATGGACAAACTGGATAACTCGTGCTGTATTGAATCCGTTTTTAGTTCTGTAGTAAATCATTTCATAATAATCGAACTAATGTAAATATATCATCCGGTCCGTCTCTACTGTCTCTTTCTTTGAGCTCTCTTGGCTCGTATCGCCACTAACCGCTAATTAGTTGTAGCATTGCCTAACTGGACTCTGTCTGCTTTCTGATTTTCCATCTTTATCTCCGTCCCTCAGAAACGACACGACTCTTCACACTGATGTTCACAGCAGTAATTAATAGCTCCTAGTGTTGCAGCGACAGATTGTGAGTCCTCTTTCTGAGATCAGACACTCTGGTTTAAGTATTTAACATTTGGAGTGAAAACATCAGTGTTGAGTTCGGTGTTGCAGGAATTAGTCGCGTCCCTGCTGTAGTGAAGGTGACCTGTGCAGAATGGCTTCCTGTCTGGGGAAACCCTCAGTGTGGGTTGGTTGTGGTGTGGCTTCTGTATTTAGGACTTTTTAACCTCTGCATGGTGTTAACTGCATCTCTCTTTCTCCACCACTTCACTCTAAAATCATTGTACAAACCAAACTTTAAACGTTCTGTAACTTTGTGAACAGATAAAAAGGTGGTGGAGACGCTGAGGTGCCGGGGCCGAGGTTGTGCTCTGTCGTAGCTGTAGACGGTTGTGACGGTGGTGTAAAATGGCCGTGGGTGACGGGTTAAAGGGTCGTAGGTCACTAATGGTGTCCGGGTGTCTCTCCCTTTGCTGCCCCCTGCTGGCGACTCTTCCAGACCTGGCTGTGTTCGAGGAGAGGCTGAGAATCCTAACGGTAGGAGGTACGAGAAACGACAACGCTGCTGTGTCACTGCTCAGTGCTTTGAAGGCAGTAGTTCATCTGTAGGAGAGTGTGTTCACTGTAGTAGTGTGCAGCGCCCTCTACAGGAGAAACAGGGGTTTTCTGACATCCTGGAGTTCCTGTAGAGGGCGCTGCACTAAAGGGCGGGATAAAAAAAAAAGATGTTTCATTTGGTTTAGTGTGTTTTGCTTTTATCAAACTAGTTTCTACAGGAGTAATGAATGTCCTGCCACCAGTACTGGTTACTGTGGGCACTTAAAGTCACCACCACAACAGCAAGAGGAACTTAAAATATTTAACTACAACTACTAAAACCATTAAACAGGTGAGCAAAAAAAGTGCTATTTTTCTAGTTAGCTACTTAATCCAGGCTATAATAACATATTCCAATGAGAGACATTGCCCACGTAGATTTAACTTTCTTTCTTGCTTTGTATACAGAAGAAAAAACAATAGTTATTCAGATGCCCTGTATACAACTACTGTATATAACTATATATAAGTTTGGCTTTAGTAAACCACAGAAAGTTAAAGCTGCACCAGATTACATCCAGATTAATATTTAAAACTTGGATACCAACGTGAACAGTCACTGCTGAGTCAACTGAAAACGTGTTCCCTTCAGTCATCACCCGAAAGTTAGATACCAACTTTAATGTAAATCAATCAGCTCTAAATGGGATTTAGACACAAACAGCTCTTTTATATTTGCTGGCTCGCTGTTCATTACTCCTGTGGAAACATTTTCTTTGCTTTCTATCAGACACAGAAACAGAGTGGAACATCCCTGTAAGACCTCAGTACACAGGAGACATCCAGAGTACACACTGCTCCAACAGCTGTTGCCTCTGAACGTCTCGCTGTGTTCTGGTCTGCGTAGTTCGCTTTGTTAGCTTGTAGCTGCTGTTAGCGCCTGCTCCGTCTCGTAGAACAGGTGTCTGATAGAGGAGTTATCTCGGAGTTCATCTGGAGCCTGCGAGGTGGCGTCAGGAGATTATTTTTAACCGTGGCTGCAAAATTATTGAGAGTAGGAGGCAGAAAAACAGGTTTTAATACCGTCAGTACTTTTACTCAATAAGTATTTGATTATTATTATTACAGGGAAAATAAATTAGATTCTATTTGTAAAGACTAAATCAGACATAAGTTACTTCCAGGAAGCTCGACATGGAGCTTTTATGCACATTTAGTCTTCTGATTTTATTGCTGACAAGAAGAAACAAACATCCAGTTTTTATAATAAAGTTTAAACCATCATAACGTTTCTTTAAATTACACCTGAAACATTTTTACTTAAAAAAAAACTTAATTTATAAAGAACATAAAGCTACAAAGTGCTTCACCAGGAAATAAAATTAAAAGACTATGTATGTATGTGGATACAAACCACAACATATAAAGTTATTGATCAGTAATGAGCTGTGATCTGCAGTAACTTCAGTGAACACGTCGTAGTCGTGGCCGTTCGATTAAAAATAATTTCCTCACGTCACGCTGTAAGTTCGACCTGCAACACCGGCTGAAACCAGCAGGAGTCGGTTCCTATTGGACAATTTGCTAAAAGACTTTATTTTGTGTTTTAATGCTTTTGAAAAAGACATTTGTTGCTTTATAATTTGGTTTTCTTGGGTTCATAAAAAGATAAAATGGATTAAAAGCATCCAGAAACTGTTCAGCCTGTGTTCTTTAGCGCTGTTAGCTGATGATGTTTGAAGCTTCCTCTTCTTCTCATTCTTGGTTTTAATCTCCTTTCAGCTCTTCCCTCTCTCTGTTTTCTGCTCTGCTCCCAGTGTTCAGGGATCTCCACACTTTTATCCTTTTGAATAGAGGCGAGGACAGAAGATGCGAGCCATACTAACACCATCGTTATAACGTAGAGTGATACTGCTGCTCCTCTCTGGTCTATAAATCACCTGCAGCATCCCGACAGTCAGCACTGCAGAAGGTGTTCCTGTCCCACTGCATAACATCCTGATCGATAGCTGGAAGAGTTCACTTCAAAATAAATTCTGCTGTGTTTTTCTGAATTAATGAGATACCGCCATCAGGCTCAGCCCCCAGAACCAAACCCGAGTCCTATAACCAGCCTCCAGTTTGTTCCAGTCTCAGTCCTCTAAGGCCCTGGATCCCAACCAACCAATGCCTAAGCCTAATCCAAAGCCCCCAACACTGGCTCTCTGCAGTGGGTACGGTCCCAACCGGTCTCCCTCCCTCCTCCGGGTGCTCCAGCAGAGTACCAGGGAGTGAAGTGACAGAGAGTCCTGCAGGAGGCTGTCTCAGGGCTGAGAGCCAGTGTTTGGGGCTTAGAGGGCTGAGAGTCTTATGCTTTAAAACCCCTGTTGGCACAAACCCTGATGAAGAGTGTGCGACTGTACTTTAGGCTTCAGAGGATCTAAGAACTATTTGAAAAAGAATATCACCTGTGTTTCACTTTTTCAGACGTGTAACCACACAGATAGAAAAGTCACGCTGTCCTTAGCTTGTGGAAGCGCAGTAATGCCTCGCAGTTATGAAGCGCAGTGAAAAAGTGCAGTAATGCCGTGCAGTGATGAAGCGCAGTGATAAAGTGCAGTAATGCCGTGCAGTGATGAAGCGCAGTAATACAGTGATGCAGCCATTAAGCGCAGTGATGCAGTGCTGTGACTGTGTGTTTCAGAGTCAGACTGCCAGTCTCAGATTAGTGTCGGCTGCAGACGGAGCGGTAAACACCAGAATCCTGTCAGCTGCTCTTTGTGTCTGTGGAGCTGTTGTATCTTTCCTCACAACCTTCCCCCTCTGAGGAGGAGGCGAGGAAAGGAAGTGAGGAAAGTGAATGACGGGCTGAGCAGTGCCCCGTCTGCCTGCTGTCTTTAGAGAGACTCTGCTTCTTGAATGGCCGGCTTGGCTGTCAGTCGTGTGATTGTGGCGTTTGATAACGTGTGTCAGCTTTCTGATTGGCTGAATCCGCTGTCAGTCTGTTCAGCTCAGCCGTCTGATTGGCAGGTTGAGTGTAACAGGAAACATTTAAGGTGGTCGTGTAGTTTAAGGACACTGCGGGATCCTTTAAAGTCCTGATTTGTATTTGAAGTCAAAGACAAAAACACTTCCCTCTACTTTCTCTCTCCATCTTTTCTCTCCTTCATAACCCATCCTCCTCTAACTGCCCCGTAATCAGTTTGAAGTTGCAAAATAACAATTAAATGCCCATAATTCCCCCCAACATGCCTCTTCCTCGCCGCTGTCATGAACACATCGCTGCTCTCTGTGGAGCGTTTTTCTTTCTGTTCATTAAAATCTGAAAGCAGCTCTCGGCCAGTGGACCCGTCAGCTTGTGGACTCTTCACCCTCTGTCTCGTCTTCCAGGAGACCGGTGCTGATACACTGGGGGTCAGCAGAGGTCAGGAAGTGGCTCAGAAATGATGTCGCTCTGGATGACATCAGTACAGAGAGCAGAAACACACTCTTTACATTATTATTCACTTTGATTACCACCAAAAACTGTATTAACAAACGTCACATAAACACCTTGAGTTTGGGTATTTAACGCTCTCTGGTGGACGAACTAACTGTTCTAGATAATCTTAAATGTTTTTGTGCATCTGTCAGTGATACCAGCCATGCAGACGTGCCAGTAATCACACCACAACCATCTGTGTGAGACACTTTTTCAGAGGAAACTTAATTTGTGTTGCACCTTTTAATACATAAAACTGTCTTAAAAACACATTCAGATAAATTATATTGGAGGCAAACAGTTTAAAGTACAGTAATAATGCTGAATAATCAGCTGTGAACAGAACAAGAAGACACTGTAGGTGTCACACAACCTTTCAGTAACTTTTACACTGCAGCCTGAACTTATCTACACACTTTATTAACTCACAGTAACGTTCCTGTCCCTCACACAGCGGGTTGGTGGACTGCTTTAATAAAGCACAAGTAGTGATTGTGTATACAGATATATAACACATCTGCACTGCTGCCATCCAGACTCACTCCTGAATGTTCATACGGGGTTAAAGTTCATACAGTTTATACTGATGATGACATTGTGGTCTCAGACCTACAAACCTCCTATAGAGATTTTACTGCAACTAGTTCTGTGAAGTTGTGTCTGATTTCTGTGAACAACCAGCAGCTTCTGGGAGAAGAACAGCAGCAGTTACCTGAGGAGCTGCTTCAGTTTAATCTCAGTAGAAACATGTTTCTGTCTTTTATCCAAAGTCCTGATTAAAGTGATAAAGTGAATAGTTAAAAGAACGTAAGTGAACCTGCAGCTTCTTCATCCTCCTGAAGGTTTTGTGCATTTTTGAATTCTACGACGCCGTATTAATGGTAAAAAATGAAATGCAGGGGGCGAACGGAGATATTCTGAGATTAAAGTCAAACATTTATGAGAAAACAAATTGTAGAAATAATAATAAGTTGGTGGTGCTGAGAGAAAGTGGGTCTGTATAACGATGTCAAACTAAATGCTTCATTTAGACGACTGGGATCATTTTATATTTAATAGTTATTAACATCATTTACACTAATTTATAGAGAATATCTAACAAATGTATGAGTTTAATCTCAGAATGAATTCAGATCAGATAAAACTTTATTTATCTTCAGGGAAGTTTTTTCCAGTACAAAGAGAGTGTGAATATAAAATACCAATAAACGTAAACAATGTTGAAAACATGAGCAAGGTTGATGGATTATATGTTGCTGTATATCAGAAGTCTCAAACTACAGAGATTGTCTTGGGGCCACTGCTATTTATATCTAACAGGAGGCCGATTCAACGATCGATCACAACACTAAAACATGATTCTGGGAATATTTCCATCTCTAACATCAAACTGCAGTTTCTGTACATTCTTATAAAACCGTCTCTCTTCTCTTCAACCCTTCGCACGGATTTGCGGGAACTTTGCAGCATTTTCCTGTAAATAGAATTGTGTTTTTATTTTTGAATTATATATGACGAAATAGTTTAAATTTATATAAAACAATTATATTTTTGTCAGACGTGGCCCCCGGGCCGACAGTTTGAGACCCCTGCTGTATATGCTGCATACTGTATAAGTATGAGAAGTAGCATCAAACTTCCTGAGTAATAAATCTCAAACAAGTGAGGAAATATTAAAGGATACAAGGTTAGAACAAGAGTATTGTAATTGTTTACCATCAGTTATAGTTTGTAGTTACTCTCTGCTGTACAGTGAATCCTGCACACTGGACCTTTAAAGGATCAGTCTGCTGATACTCTGTATTCGTGCTGCAGAGTCAAACATGTAGGTTCATGTTTAAACAGAGACATTTGTTGGGGACTACAGCGTAACTAAATGAGCTACAGTGTGTGGTAATGAAGGAACA